TTCTTGTTGTTGTTGTTGGTTGTTGGTATTTGTTTGTTGTTTGCTGGTTGTTGGTTGTTGGTTGTTGGTTGTTGTTGGTTGTTGGTTGTTGGTTGTTGGTTGTTGGTTGTTGGTTGTTGTTGTTGTTGTTGTTGTTGTTGTTGTTGTTGTTGTCGTTGTTGTTGTTGGTTGTTTGAGGAGGTTGTTGTTTGAGGATGTTGTTGTTGTTGTTGTTGTTGTGGTTGTTGGTTGTTGGTTGTTAGTTATTGGTTGTTGGCTGTTGGTTGTTGGTTGTTGGGTGTTGGTTGTTGGTTGTTGGTTGTTGGTTGTTGGTTGTTGGTTTTTGTTGTTGTTGTTGTTGTTGTTGTTGTTGTTGTTGGGTTGGTTGGTTGGTTGGTCGGTTGGTCGGTTGGTCGGTTGGTTGTTGGCCTCTCTGCCCTGACGCGCTCCCCCTCGCTGGGCCAGGGTCAGCGGATATGGTGATACAAGTACGTGGTGTCGGGCGGGGTCGGCGGAAAGTAATATAATGCGTTTCGAAACTAGGCACGCTGTGGGCGCTATGTTACTCAAGGTTCAGGAGTTACGTGCGTAATCGATGCAATGTTTCTTGAAGGTTGAGAAGTTATGCGTGTTTTAGTTCACGCTACTGGTACTCTACTTCAACGTTCAGAAGTTACGCACATAGTTGATGGTACGTTCATAGTTGATGCTACAGAATCCTCAAATTTAGTAAACCATTTTATCCAAAAATCATGTGCAAAAAGCAGAGCAAAAAAAGCAAAACCATAGCAAATCAGAAAGCAACAAAAGCAGAAAAAAGAAAAAACATGCAAAAAACATGAGAACAATAGCATGCTACACAGCAATATCGGCAATGCACATTGAGAGTTGAAGCTTTGTTTTCTATTTTTCCCCAAACAGCTCTTGAGCTGAATGGGGTTCGAAATTCTTAATAGAAACAGGCTTTTTGCCATCATCATTCAGATCCTGTGTGAGAGGTTCCGGCGCTAAAGAGACCCTTGCCATCATGATTTCCTGGGTTCCGGTCTACTGGTTCCGGCGCTTAAGAAACCCTTTGCCATCATGATTTCCTGGGTTCCGGTCTATTGATTCCGGCGCCAAAGAGACCCTTGCCGTCATGATTTCCTGGGTTCCGGTCTACTGGTTCCGGCGCTTAAGAAACGCTTTGCCATCATGATTTCCTGGGTTCCGATTCCGGTGCTTAAGAGATCCTTTGCCATCATGATTTCCCGGGTTCCGGTCTACTGGTTCCGACGCTAAAACCTTTGCCGTCATGATTTCCTGGGTTCCGGTCTACTGGTTCCGGCGCTGAAGATGCCCTTTGCTGTCATGATTTTGGTTCCGGTGTACTGGCGCCGGCACTTAAGAGATCCTTTGCCATCATGATTTCCTGGGTTCCGGTCTACGGGTTCTGGCACTAAAGACCCTTTTGCCATCATGATTTCCCGGCCATCATGATTTTCTGGTTGTGGTCTACTTGTCCCGGAGCTTAAGAGACCCTTTGCCATCATGATTTGCTGGTCCCGGCGCTAAAGAGACCCTTTGCTATCATGATTTCCTGGGTTCCGGTCTACTGGTTCCGGCGCTGAAGATGCCATTTGCTGTCATGATTTCGGTTCCGGTGTACCGGTTCCGGCGCTCAAGATTTCCTTTGCTGTCATGATTTCCTGGGTTCCGGTCTACTGGTTTCCGCGCTAAATGGTTCCGGCGCTTAAGGGATCCTTTGCCATCATGATTTCCTGGGTTCCGGTCTATTGATTCCGGCGCCAAAGAGACCCTTGCCGTCATGATTTCCTGGGTTCCGGTCTACTGGTTCCGGCGCTTAAGAAACGCTTTGCCATCATGATTTCCTGGGTTCCGGTCTACTGGTTCCGGCGCTCAAGATACCCTTTGCTGTCATGATTTTGGTTCCGGTGTACTGGCTCCGGCACTTAAGAGATCCTTTGCCATCATGATTTCCTGGGTTCCGGTCTACGGGTTCTGGCACTAAAGACCCTTTTGCCATCATGATTTCCCGGCCATCATGATTTTCTGGTTGTGGTCTACTGGTCCCGGAGCTTAAGAGACCCTTTGCCATCATGATTTGCTGGTCCCGGCGCTAAAGAGACCCTTTGCTATCATGATTTCCTGGGTTCCGGTCTGCTGGTTCCGGCGCTGAAGATGCCCTTTGCTGTCATGATTTCGGTTCCGGTGTACCGGTTCCGGCGCTCAAGATTTCCTTTGCTATCATGATTTCCTGGGTTCCGGTCTACTGGTTTCCGCGCTAAATGGTTGCGGTGCTTAAGGGATCCTTTGCCATCATGATTTCCTGGTTCCGGTCTACTGGTTCCGGCGCTTAAGAGACCCTTTGCCATCGTGATTTCCTGGTATCCGGTCTATTGGTTCCGGTGCTTAAGAGACCCTTTGGCATCATGATTTCCTGGGTTGCGGTCTACTGGTTCCGGCGCTAAAGAGACCCTTTGCCATCATGATTTTCTGGTTGTGGTCTACTGGTTCCGGCGCTAAAGAGACTCTTTGCCATCATGATTTGCTGGTTCCGGTATACTGCTGGACCATGACTTCAGTCAAGTCCATTCCCGATGCATGATCTAATTTTGGGCGCGTGAACGCATTGAGCAGAAACTGCTCCATCTCATGGCTACTGCAGAAGAAGCAGGCAAACTTCAACCAGGCGTTGCAGCCAAGATCTATGGCATCGCCAACTTCTTCGAGCTTGGCGTCTGGGGACGCATCGGCTGTGGCGGCCTGGCCCCCATCAAACACAGGCAGCAAGAACGCGCCTCAGAGTTGACTGAGGAGTTGCGCCAGTGCTTCAGCCTGCTGAAGACTATCATTGCCACAAAGCCGTCCAGACAGATTGAAGTGGCCCCATACTCTGGCCCTCGATTCCTAGCAGCATCAGACGCAGCATTGGAAAGCCCTGGCCAAGGTACAGGAGGTTTCCTTGTGATCTGGCATGATGATCAAGTCCAGCAGCGAGAAGCATTTGTCTCAGTCATACCACAGATAGTGTATCACCTCTGGGAACCAGGAGATCGTAAGATTGCTCAGCTGGAACTTCTTCAAGTTCTGTACGCCCTGTTTTCAAGACCCTGCGCATTTCGTGGTAGACGAGGAATCTGGTTTATTGACAACACTGCAGCGCTCATGGCTCTGATCAGAGGTCGATCCGACAATGCAGATCTTGAATATATGTCTCGTTTGATTCATGTCACGCTTTTTGCACTCAAAGCCTGGTTTTTCTGGGAATGGATCCCTAGTAAGGCCAACTGGTCGGACGAGATCAGTAGGGAAGGCCTTCAGGCAACATGGCATGTTCGCCATGGGTTCACCACGAATTGGGCAGTTTTCCCCTTCGAGATCTGGTCTCTACCACTCCCCGCGTTTCTACGGGTTGTAGAGTTTCTTTAAGTGCTTTGGGGTAGAAGTGCATTGGGATAGATTCCACCTGTGTAGCCTCCTGGGTCAACAGGAGTGCGGAACAGGAGTACGAGTCTAACCAGTGCTGCTGTGCAGGGGTATACCTGCACAGCCTACCAAAGCACTATCCTGCTGGAGGCAGGTTGAGACCTTACGAAGAGCCTGGAAAGGAAAAAGCTATGCGGACGTGAACTGCTTTGAGCTATAACCTAGTGACATGTTGAAGCTTTACATCTCACATCTAATGTATATATATATATATGTGTGTGTGTGTGTGTCGACGTGCACTTAGAACATCAAACGTTTTCCAAATGCGCCGGCACACACATACACGCTCACTCAGAACATCACAAAAATCAAGAAGGTGATGTTCTAAGTGTATCACTTAGAACATCAAAAATCAAAAAGCACCTCACCTGGAACATCAGCGCATAAAACATGCATTTTGACAGGGGAAAAGGTGGTCTGATGTTCTAAGTGTCTTTCCGGCTGAGGAGAAAAAATTGGGGAAAAACACTTGCACTTGTCGCTTGGTCTTGGTCAGTGTGTTCCTCTTTCTTTTGGGGTGTGCTGCCTGGCTGCTGGCCTGATGTTCTGAGTGTGCTGCCGCTGCAGGTGCCGGTGGATTCTACTGTTGCTGCGCGTCTTGCTTGGTGCGGGCTTTAGGCTCAGGTGCTTGCTTTGGACTTGCCGCTGTGCTTGCTGGTCCACTTGTCACTTGGTCTTTGCCAATGTGTTCCTCTGTCTTTTGTGGCTCAACTGCATCTGCCCCGGTTTCTCTGACATCCTTCTGTGCTGGCTGTTCTTCCTGGCTGCAGGCCTGATGTTCTAAGTGTCCTGCCGCTGCAGGTGCCGGTGGATTGCACTGTTGCTGCACGTCTGACTTGGTGCTCGCTTTAGGCTCAGGTGCTTGCTTTGGACTTGCCGCTGTGCTTGCTGGTCCACTTGTCACTTGGTCTTGGCGACACATTCCTCTTTCGTTTGTGGTGGCTCAGCTGCATCTGCCCTGGTTTCGCCTGATGTTCTAAGTGTGCTGCCGCTGCAGGTGCGTCTTGCTTGGTTCCCGCCTTTTTCCATTACTATTTAGTATAGTGGACACATATATCATATATACTTAGAACATCATCATGTACAAGTTGATGTTCTAAGTGTGTTTTTTTTGGGATGTTCTGAGTGTGGTTCCCCGACTTCACACTTAGAACATCTACCCTGTTAGGTGTTGGAGGAGCGTTTTCCAAATTATTCTCTAATTCTAAGTGTTTGTCGACCCACACACACACATATATATATATATACACATATAAATTCCTGTGGAATTCTAGGCCGCAACAGAGGCGCGACACATTTTCACTAGTGGAGTGTCTTTTAAATTTTTGGCGGGCAAGCTCCTCCCAAGCTTCTAGCAGAATGCATACCATACAAATTACAAGTACGGGCGTAGGTGCGCGAGCACGCCAACGCATGCACACGCCCTTGTGCATACTAATACACCATCCTGTCTGAAGCTGTTGCTTGTGAGCAACGTCTTTGGTGAGTTTTATGAATCTTGCCCGATGACCGGTTGTTCCGCTTGTTTCTCGAAGGATTCTTTGAGATTTGGAAGCTTCTGGGTAATCATGACGCCGGTGCACTACCAGGCGGGGTCTTTGATTTGTCATGTCAGGATGCAAGACAAAGGTTTTAACCAGATCCCTGCAGTTGTCGGCTTGTGGCCAGCCTCTTATGGTCCCCGCGCCATTCTTGGCAGATACGCCAGTCGAAACCTGAGCGTGTTCAGCCAGAACGCAACATATTATGTGCTGAATATGCATGGATGCAGCAGATGCAAGCCGATGTGAACTTGCCTTGCGACAATAGCGTGTTTATTTCGATTGCTTTTTCGTGGCTTCCGAGGAAGTGGCAAATCTTCTTCATGGCGAGAAAAATTCCCGCAGTTCTGAAGAGCAGGACCAAACAGTGATGTACTTTCAGTGATTTTCGATTTCAGGGTTTCACTGGGATGGAAGGAGAGAGTCGGATGTTCTTCCGAGGGATCCTCTGAGCCGGAGCATGATTCTGCAGATGCTCCACCTCAAATGGAGGTGGGGATAGCGACGCTCCAGGTGAAACTGCGCACTGCCAAGAAAACCACACAGTAACAGGGCCACAGCTGGAAATGCGATCAGGTTGCAGCGAAATTCAGGGAGGGTTCGATTCTTTGATCATTGCAGTTTGCGCAAGCAGTCAGCCACTGGGGTTTGTCAAGCCGCCTGTAGAACTGTATGGTGCTCTGAGGTGAACCTTGAAATCTTACTATCTTTGAATATCTCTGTGTTTGATCCCTCCTTTTCGTATCGCGGTATGTTATTTAGATTTTTTTGATCAGTTTTTTTTTAATTCCTGCTTTTCTGCTGTTCCTGCTTCTCTGCTTTTCTACTTCCCTGCTTTTTCCGATCTCTTGCTTTTCAAGCTTCTCTGCCTTTTGCTTGTCCTGCTTCTCTGCTTATCTGCTTCTCCGCCTTTCTACTTCTACTTTTCTGCAGTCATGCGTTTTTGCTGCTCTGCTTCTTCCTGCTCCTCTGCTTCTCTGCTGCCTTTCCTTCTTGTCTCTTTGCTTTTCCTTTCTTTTGCTTTATTCTGTCCTGTTTGTATCTTAAATCAAACCGTAAAGAAATCCTAGATGAAACCCAAAGACACCCAAAAGAAATCTTAATAGGAAAATGAGACCCTGAAGAAATCTAAATGACCCGCCACATAAACCCCTAAATGGAAATTCAAATGGAACCCTACATGAAACCCTTAACGGAACCCTTAATGAAATCCAAGAGAAACCCAAAGGGAAGCCTAAATGAAACCTTCAATGAAGCCTTTCATGAGAGCCAAGAGAAACCCAAAAGAAACTCGAAATTGAACCCAGAAGAAGCCCTAAAGAAACACAAAAGAAACACTAAACAAATCTTAAGTCTTAAATGAAACCCTAAAGAAACCCTAGGAGTAGGAGTAGGAGTAGTAGTAGTCGTCGTCGCCGTCGTCGTCGTCGCGTCGTCGTTGTCGTCGTCGTCGTCGTCAACGTCGCCGCCGCCGCCGTCATCGTCGTCGTCGTCGTCGCCGTCGCCGTCGCCGTCGCCAACACCGTCGCCGTCGCCGTCGCCGTCGCCGTTGTCGTCGTCGTCGTCGTCGTCGTTGTAGTCGTCATTGTCGTCGTAATCGTCGCACTCGTCGTAGTCGTCCTCGTCGTCGTAGTCGTCCTAGTCGTCGTAGTCCTCGTATAGTCGTCGTAGTCGTCGTAGTCGTCGTCGTAGTCGTCGTAGTGGTAGTGTTCGTGGTCGTGGTCGTGGTAGTGGTGGTAGTAGTAGATTAGTAGTAGTAGATTAGTAGTAGTAGTAGTAGTAGTAGTAGTAGTAGTAGTAGTAGTAGTAGGTAGTAGGTAGTAGGTAGTAGGTAGTAGGTAGTAGGTAGTAGGTAGTAGGTAGTAGGTAGTAGGTAGTAGGTAGTAGGTAGGAGGTAGTAGGTAGTAGGTAGTAGGTAGTAGGTAGTAGGTAGTAGGTAGTAGGTAGTAGGTAGTAGGTAGTAGGTAGTAGGTAGTAGGTAGTAGGTAGTAGGTAGTAGGTAGTAGGTAGTAGGTAGTAGGTAGTAGGTAGTAGGTAGTCGGTAGTCGGTAGTCGGTAGTCGGTAGTCGGTAGTCGGTAGTCGGTAGTCGGTAGTCGGTAGTCGGTAGTCGGTAGTCGGTAGTAGGTAGTAGGTAGTAGGTAGTAGGTAGTAGGTAGTAGGTAGTAGGTAGTAGGTAGTAGGTAGTAGGTAGTAGGTAGTAGGTAGTAGGTAGTAGGTAGTAGGTAGTAGGTAGTAGGTAGTAGGTAGTAGGTCGTAGGTCGTAGGTCGTAGGTGGTAGGTGGTAGGTAGTAGGTGGTAGGTAGTAGGTAGTAGGTAGTAGGTAGTAGGTAGTAGGTAGTAGGTAGTAGGTAGTAGGTAGTAGGTAGTAGGTAGTAGGTAGTAGGTAGTAGGTAGTAGGTAGTAGGTAGTAGGTAGTAGGTAGTAGGTAGTAGGTAGTAGGTAGCAGGTAGCAGGTAGTAGGTAGTAGGAAATAGTTAGTAGGTAGTAGGAAGAAGGAAGTAGGAAGAAGGAAGTAGGAAGAAGGAAGTAGGTAGTAGGTAGTCGGTAGTGGGTAGTGGGTAGTGGGTAGTGGGTAGTGGGTAGTAGTGGGTAGTAGTAGGTAGTAGTAGGTAGTAGTAGGTAGTAGTAGGTAGTAGGTAGTAGTAGGTAGTAGT